ACATGTATAGTGGATTTTAACAGAGTCCACTATAGCGGTGATGAAGACAGAAAGCCTTAAATATAGCTTATGGATATGTGAGTATCCGCTTTCTCGTAGCACCGCACACCTTACGGTTATTGCTAAGATGAATTTGATCAAGTTGCATTAAAATAACAATCAGACCCTCAAAATGTATACACTTTAATGCATGATCTCTATTATATTGCCTTAGCGCTACCAATAAAAGACAGCTGCAGTTATTTGTAGCCAACGCACAATACCACTAATGAAAGTGTCATCATTTCATTAAAAAAATAGGTGAGTGCCAGTTTTTTTTTTTACAATGAGACTATTTGTTGTATTATCATTAGGGTGTCATTGAGAAGAAGCAATAAAAAAATTAATTCTTTTTCACCATGGCAAATACTATTAGTACAAAAAAATTACAAAAGTGAGAGTATTTTGGTATACAGGGTGTACCACTTAAGATTTCCAGTGGCATTTTATTAGGAAGTAAAGACCTATTTTAAATAGAAACTGGCCATATCTAGAGTAAATGGATCAGTAAATGGATTAACTTGACATAAAAGTTTTTTTTCTTTAGACTTATAGATCGTGTTGTCCTTCAAAGAAATTTTCATATACAGAATTAAATACTAGGCAAATCATTTACTTTTGCCATAAAATCCAGTTTATTAGATAGCAGCAATTTTGTGTGTTATTTATTGACAAGAATGACGTTTTCTAACTTATTTATTATTAGTTAGATAAACGATTTTAATAAAACTGTCTTCATATTATTGTCTTAACAGTGAAATTTTAAACAATTTTTCAATTCGAAACGAAAAGAAAATGTCATGTTCCATGGCTAGATTTTTAAAGCTCCTAATCACTAAAATGCAAGAAATTGGAAATAAATTATTTTTGTTGTAAATATTTGCAGTGATGTTTAGAATGACTCATACCTTCATCAAAGAAATTTAACAGGGAAAAACTATGTTTCGAATGTTTATGAATTAAGTCCATATGATATTTTTTGAGATAGAATTCCAAGAAAAGAATAAGTCAGTCAAGTTATGTTATTGGAACTACTGTAACAATTTACCGCGGTAGGGGCGTGCCTTGAAATGTTCGGCCAATGTCTTTCTACTTCTGGTGTCAAACGCTGTTAAATCCAAGATAGTGGCGCATTGGTCTTCTCTCGGAATTCTATCTCAACAAATATCGTACGGATTATATGTATTGTTTTAAAATCTATTTCCCCTTATAGTAAATTTTATTTTTACTTTCATTAAACATCTGTATATAAATTTAAATAGTTGAATTGAACGGTATTATTTTAAAAAGATAATCATAATTTGTTATAGGGACTTAAACTTTAATAAAATTATATAATAATGCAAAATGTTAAAACAAGCTTTAAATGATGATTTTACCTAGGGAGTAAGCGAATAGAAAAAGAGAATGTCTAAATTTTGTTTACAATTTAAGCTCTCCATTATTTTACTCCCGGGATTAAAAAATTTTATTGTGGGAATTATAAATTGTTTGAAGGATTATTTCAAATGATTATAGAAAATAGTTCATGTAATTTAATCTTATTACAATACAATGTATGTCGTTCATTAATACAACTAGTTTTTTATAAGACAAATGTTGGAAATTATCTATAATTTTGTAGTAAACATTAATTTGATTAATACACGTGAAACTTCAAGGATGTCCAGTCCACATAAACTGCATTGAAAATTGTTTCGTGGTCAGGAAGTATAATTACAGCAAATGGTGTCTTGAATCAAATGGGAAAACTTAATAAGGTCGACATTTATACAAGGTGTTTTGGTGATAGATATCATAAATTCGGGAGCTGACAGAATATTAAAAATAAGATTTTTTCCTATAAATTCTGGATCCATCGCCTTTAATTTTTGTGATAGAGGGCGTCAAAAAGAACATTTTGTACAATCTTATTATTTTAGTCATATCTTTTTCAGAAAACAGATACTTCGTCGAAATCTGGTGCAGGTACGTTTTCATAGGTGTTAAATGATTTAATGTTGGTAGTTTTTGACATTTTATGTAAAACATCATTTTATTATTTTATGTAAAATGATATTTAATATTTTATATTTTTAAAATAGGCAAAAACGCAGCTTTTGAAAAAAATGCAGTTGAATGTTTTTATTTCATTTTAATTAATACTAAAATAGCTTTTTAGAGGAAACAAAATTGTATTAGAGTAACCTATTTCAAATTAGTTTATTTTCATCCAATTCCGGACGCTTTGTTCATTACATAATAGAAGCTGGTTCATTTTGGGAAAGTCGCTTGCGTTTTTCACAAAAAAATAAGGGCGCAATTTCGGTGACTTCACGATGTTGATGTAAAATGGAATTTGGCGTTATGATATATGTATAACATACCTACATCGTAAAAACCTAAACCAAAAAAAAAAATATTTTGTTTGAAAATTTTTTAGCAGATGGACAAAACTAATAATACTGACGTATTAAGGCCTGCACATACATACGCGGCAAGGTAAGCGGTGGCGGTGGCGTTTGAATGTAACGCATAGAAACTAATGGGTCAAAACATACATGTCGCGGTACGAGCGGTATATTTAAATTCGAATAACGCCACCGCCACCGCCATCGCTACCGCGTATGTATGCGCAGGCCTTTAAAAAACTGTTTATGACGCTTTATATCTCAAAAACAGAAGAAGAGAGTATAATTCATAGCAAAAAATCGCCTTATTTTTTTGTCATCATCAGCACCTGAACTTAAGGCAACTTATTCCAAAACACCCTGTGTATCATCAAAGTTGACATTAAATCTTCCCATATGCACAAAAATATACAACAAAATTAAAATTATTAGATGGTGTTTAGATTAAGGAAAAAACAAGCAATATAGTATCAGTTTCTATAAGTTTATATCTCTAAGTGATTTTAGAGGCAACACAATATAAAGGGTGTTTCAGTTCGAGTGAATCAAACTTTAACCACAAACAGAACTCGATAAATAATGCAGAGTTGCCTCATAAAGCAAGGGTTTAAATCTCACCGTTTTCACTGTACAGGGCCGTATTGGTCGGTTGTTAAAATCATATTATTTACGAAATCTTCGGTATGCTTATAACAAATTGATTCAAATTTGATGTGGTGTTAACATTTACATATGTGCATAATTTACTGTAAAATTTACAAATTTTTGAATTTCAGTGGCGTCGGAATGGGTAGTAAAGTGGAATTTTACCCCAACTTCTGCGCCAATGCCCTAATAATCATTTGAGATTCAGTTTTAGATTCCGTGGACAATTCTACATAAAAAAGATATACTTGAAAATCAGTATAGTGTATCGTTTTACCGGAAATCTTAGTTGAATGATAAGAAAAGTTTCTTAAGGATAGGAAATTTTAAATTAATATTATAATATAATGTAACGTATTAACTTAGAATTCAAAACAATATTAAATAATATCTACATCGGCGAAAAGACTGGAAAATTCTAAATATAATCCCTTGTGTATTATTTATTGTATTCGTAATGTGGTTAATTCCTCCTCTCAATGACACCTCCTCTAAAATTTCATTTGCGCCATTCTGAAGCAATTATAGGTATCCTTGTTCATTCAACGATCCATTTGTTTCAAACAGATATAATTTCTTTAAAAAATTACACCAAATAATCCGTACACAACGATTGCCATGAAAAAACAACTAAGCAATAATAGACTTATCTGTTATCAGGAAATTTTATTTTAAAGATTTGAAATATTAGTTAGTTGGTCTTTCTTATCAGAAGAACGGTTTCCCATTCAACTGAGAGTTTCGGTAAAACGATACATTATACCGATTTTCAATGTAGAATTTTATATAGAATTGTCCACGGAATCTAAAAATGAATTTCAAATGATTATTAGTGTATTCGCGTAGAAGTTGGGGTAAAAAAATCGTACTCTACTATTCATTCCTACGCCACTGACTTACAAAAATTTTTAAATTTTATAGTAAATTATGCACATGTGTAAAGGTTAACATCACATCAAATTTTAATCAATTTGTTACAAGCATACCAGAGATTTAATAAAGAATATGATTTCAACAACCGACCAATACGGCCCTGTACAGTGAAAATGGTGAGACTTAGACCCTTGCTTTATAAGGCAATACTGAATTATTTAATGCGTTCTATTTGTTGTTAGTTTGATTCACTCGAACTGAAACACCCTGCATATTTATTGGACTTATTAAGGTCCATTGACTATTAAACTAATATAAGATGTTGAATTAAATATCTTTTTGGAAACTTTTCTATCTGTTTTCGGACAAGTTTTGGGGCTTGTCTTCAACAAAATAAATGATTTGTCTATTAATTCAATTATATTTTCTTTTATCGTTCATTTTCATATTCTAATAATTTGATTATTGGAATCTACATTTACGGGAAACAGTAATTTTAATTAGTTCTATTCATTATTGGGATGTTAAACCGCTTTTGTCACATACAAACCAAAGGGAGAACTTTATGTAAATGCATATAATAGGATTAACAAAGCGAATAACATTTTTATATTTGAGTTTAGAATGAACAGTACTGCAAAGGATTTATTTACTGCATTTATGTGAGTCCATTCTAACAGTTTGATGTATAGAAAAGCTGAGTTAATAATTTTAAATCTAGACAGTGTTCCTGACTCCAAGATTTGAACGGTGTCTCTTAATATCTTGTAGAAACAACGTGGAAGAATGAGAAAAAATATTCTTTAAATTAAAAATTGTAACTGTCAAGGCTTGTAAAGCAACAAGCAACTTTTAAATTTATAATGATGACACTTCCATTGATAACAGACAAAAAATGAATTTGGCAATATTCGAATATTCTCGATTGAAATTCATCAAATTACCTAGTCTTTGATGTATAATAAAACGACCCTATATTCTACGTTATGCGTGAATTTCTTTGTATCATAAAGGGACATAAGGAACAAAAAAGGAAAATAAATAACGATAAAATAAATAAAAAATGCTTAAACATTTTCTCTACCATTTGGTTTATATTTACAGCAACGACAGAAAATGTATCTAGCAAAGCATTCCCTCTCAGGAGGATTTACCTCTTGTCAAATTAGGTTGGGATCTTTTTCGTTTATAATTAAGGATTCATCATTTTTAATTTCTTGTAATTTCACAATGCACTTATCCACGACATTATTTGTTAACAAATTTTTATCGACTATGGCAATATTTATTTGGTCATTAAATTCGTTTTTCCTAGAACTTTGTGAGGAACCATCCTTGATGTTATTAAAATTTGGGCTTGCGCAGTTGCTTTGCAGCTTGGAAGTAGAAGGAAGTGACTGATTGTCAAATTCGGGATGTCTTTCCGATAACTTGTCTACTGCTGCATCGGAGGCCCAGCCTTCTAGTCTGCGTTTTTCTTTCCCTACAGCAAAAAATTTCCAACTTTTCTTACTATCGCCGACATTTTTTAATTTTGGAAGAGTACTAGCTTTCCTAATGTCTACTTCCTCCAAACTTTTACAACAAGTTGATTCTACTTTTTTCTTACCTTTGTGAGGAGTACTTCTCATGCAATTATTGTTTTTTATTGATGGTAATTTTGGAGATTTCGATTTTGAGTCTTTGTCAGCCGAAAATCCAAATCGGTCTGTAAACTGGCGGAAGCGTGATAAAATAGAACGACTATTTTTTGGCTCACCAACTAGTTCATTCTGCACTTTACTTGTGTCCTCGTTTTGCACCAAAATACTGTTTCTACTATCACTTATTTTGTTAATATTTAGCCCCTCTATGCAATTATTTTTTAAACTATTTTCCCTGGTGTTATTAGGACACACCAAGTCGATTTCTTCCTTAACTACTGAGTCACTGTCTTCTTCTGGTTGCGAGTTATTGTTCAATTTCTCAACGTTCGTTAAATTTCTGTTTTCACTACACTTTAATATGCTTCTTTTTTCGTCGAAGTTTCCAGGTACTTTTACAGAGTGTTCCGAGTTCCTTTTATTTAAATTAAGAGTTTCTTTCGACAAAATACATTCTTCCTTTTTGAGTTTGTCTTCCTCAGAGTCAGAATTGTTGGCTAGTCCCTCTTCAAACTTCTTTTTTAAAGATGACGCGTATTCGTCCAAAAACTCCGGAGTATCGAACGACAACTTTTTGTTACCGACTAAACAGTGCTGGTCAAAACTAAACGCCCCACAGCGTAGCTTGCCCTTCTGAACCATCTTGGCTATTTCCGAGTGGTTCAAATGTTGCACTCGTTCTCGGCTTCCCTTCCTGGACCCTGGATAGCTTTTCCTTCCAGTGGTGGTTATGCTGCTCTCAGTGGATATCTTGAACTTCAGTGTCTTTTCCGAAATCTCTACCTCAGTGGCGGTTTCAGAATCATCGCTTTCTGGATCTTCTTGAACATCTTCTAAACTTCCTTCTCCTATTACCGTAATGGCTTCGTTTTCGGTTTCATCATCGGTAGATCGGGATCTGCACACACAAATATTATTGTTAGTTAATGTTATTAATATTAATGTAATAATTGTATTAATTGCTTCAATAATATGAATACTTATTTTTAATCTATCAACTCAAACTAATGAACTACCATAATTTCCTTTGTTTGAAAATTATAAAATCCAAGTTCCCAATATTAATTATAGTGGGTTAGGTTTATTTCAGGCATGGAGGCAAAGTAATCTCTTAAAACCATATATTTGCGGCAATTTATCTTGGAGACTTCTTGCTCAATTATCAATACAAAGAGTGGTTGATATTCCCCCCCCCCAATCCCTTGATTGGAAAATTATTCCACTTTACCCACAAATTAAATAAATTTCAAAATATTGGTTGACAAATCAGTATTTAACTACTTGAAATAAAAAAGCGGCAGATTTAATTCTTATATAAAGCTGAATACCTGGACCGGGTTTGTTGGAAGCTCAAACTTTTCTTCATTTTGACACTACTGTTCGAGTTAGACTTTGGCACTGCGTTTCCAACCTCTGGACTTTGGGACGTGGGAGTATTATTGTGATCAACTATTTCCACTATACTTTTACGGTGCAGTCTTTCCTCCCTCGTTGCTTCATTAAGTCTTCTATAGTAGTCTAAGGCATCCCTAACCGGTTGTATTATTAAATCCTAGAAATTAGCATTATTATACGATTGATACAGTACCAGTGTAATGTGTATTTTTCATACACGGAACAGATAAGCTCAAATAAATTAATAAACAGAAATACTTTTCAGACGGACGATTCTTGGGAACCATAAATATTCGGGCTATTGCAGAAAAAAATGGTGCAACAGATGTTCTAGTCGACTTCTATAATTGCCTTCGAAGTTTTGTTAATTACAGCATCGCTTCATACTATGATTTAGAAAGAAGCAGTTTACAGTTTGGGAATAATAATAGTTAGCACATCAAGTTTCTGAAGGCGTTTCAGTACCTACTTTAGAAACGAAATCTCATAGAATGGTTATGAAATTCACTCCTTCTGCTATTGGAGACGTTGATAGGAAAGCGATGTGACTTAGAGTGGACAACATAATGGAAAATAGATAGTAGAACAGGATCTGAAGTAATAGGATACCCAAATGGTAAAGAAGATATAGCCTAGAAGCATTATCTGCAGTATTTCATGCAGAAATCTTCACTTTGAGCACGTGCTTGATTTTGGGAAATGACTACATAAGTTTATCTACATATTCTCTAATAGCCCTCCTGCAATAAATGTCTCAAACTCAAAGTGTGGTCAAAACTTGTTTGGGACACAGATATGTTGCGTTAGGGTATTGGGAAATAAAGTAGACGAACTTCGAGTTTTCTTAGGACAAAAGCCTACTTTGTGGTGTAAGAACTTCGAAACTTCTGGAACTGAAGACTTGGACACACTTAAGTCAAGTCATGTTCCCTTGCTGATTCTGAACAAGATCATGCTCAGAGAAATCACAAGATATTTAACAGAACACTCTGACGAAATATCTCGATATTATGGAATTAGTACAGAATTAATTCTACTTGACTGGGTCGATGAGTTTGTAAAAAAAGTATATAAAAGAAAGCAGTCTTTGGGAAGATGTGTGCGAGAAGAACACCATTACTAACTACTACGACCGAAAACTCAAACCAAGGAAATGTTGAAATGTTTGCAGAAGAGAACACATGAAATGCTGATTATAAACAAAACCACGCTGCTTAAAGATATCGTGAGACTTTTAAGAGGTTGTTGTCCATTGATGGAGCGTCTCTACATTATAAAATTAGTAGAGGATACCATCTACCGGAGTATCAACAGAAAAGAAGAGTTTGTATTTTCAAAGACAGATCATGATCCTGCACATTTTCATTGTTTCAGTGATCTTTCTTTGTTTGGTGTAAGATACAAAGGCAGTTAATAGAACTCGACCAGTTGCATTTTCATTACCTGCAGTTCTATGAAAAGTTCACCAAGTGCTTCAAATAGAGGCAAAAGCACGAAGCCGATGAAGGAACACTGAGAGGAAGGTTTGGTAATTTTCTCTCTGTCCATAAAAGGTGTCACTGGTAGGCCTTCGAGTTTTTCAGCATCGCTCTGTTTGAAGAATTCCTGCAGGAGTTTATCCAACCACGGCTCTGCTACGTCCATTGGTCGAGCCTCATTGGAGATGTCGGATACTTTTATTAAAACCATACACAACTGCAAAATTGAGTTCATTACAGTTAATTTATTATCCACAGTTAAATCAGATTAATAAATTTTTCATATGATCATCAAATATATATATATATTTGATGATATATTTCTCCGCTGTTTGTTACAAAATTATAACAATCTTAAAATGGACTGGATATAACCATTTTATTCTGAGGATCATTTCGCATTGACATTTTGAATTTTTTATTCAAGATAAAAGAATTGAAAACAATTACAGCTGATAAAGTACTACAATCAATTCATGAGACACAGCGAATTTTCTTTTAATTATTAATGTGGGTTTATGAAATTAATGGCTAACATCGATATCGGTTCCCTTTAAATTATTTCCCTTACTAAAATTGCTAAGATTATCGGACAATCAACGAATTCGATTAAAATTGGATAATCTAAAGGTCGTTCGTTTAATATGTTCTTTGGATACCTTGTTTTCCAAGATAGTAGACATTAAGACTAGTTGAGCAGGTATTTAATTATTATTGCCTTTTACAGAGTTACTTTTATGAGTTTAAACGGATTTAAATATGTATACGTGGTCTGTTCAGAAAATAACCGATTTTTTTTTAAATACGTGCTAATGGAGATTTTTATTGATATGTGGTTGGCAGCATTGCGTTGCGCACAACCTCCTCTGTAATCACATGTTCTTGGATTATCGATATCTCATTTAGTTTCCTCGAGATATTGTTATTTGAGTTCAACGTGTTTAAGTGTTAGTGACGATTTTTGAAATGTGTTATTTTCTGGAACAACAGTGCAACGAAAACGTTTCAACTTTTGAAACAAACTTCCGGAGATAATGCTCTGGGTAGTACGTAATGTTACGAATGGTTTTTACGATTTAAAAGTGATCGTCAGAATTGAAGATGAATCTCGATCAGGAAGGCCTTTGACTTCATCTGATGACTCCCACGTACAGAAATTCAAAGATCTGGTGCGTGTAAATCGTCGATTGACTATCAGAGAAATTCAGAAGGGGTCAGCATCTCAATCGATTGAAAAATTGGACACGCATTCAGTTGCAGCAAAAGTTCATCGTTTGACGACCGAATAACAGAAAGAAAATCGTGTGGACATTTGTCGGCAACTCCTTGAACAATTCAATGACGACGAAACATTAATTCAAAGGATCATAATGGGAGACGAAAGCTGGGTTTGCGGCTACGTCATTGAGTGAACCATGTGTCAAGATGTTTTACAGCGGTTACGTGAAAAAATCTGCCAGAGTTGTGGTGAGATAACACATGGTTCTTGCACCATGACCTGGCTCCTTGCGATTTTGTCTTATTTCCTAAATTAAAATCAGTGGTTAAAGGAGGCCGTTTTCAGATTATTGATGATTCACAAGCTAATTCGTCACAGACTTTAAAGTCCATTTCAAATACAGCTATCCAGGACTGCTTCGCGAAATGAAACCACCGCTGGGACAAGTGCGTGAATAGGGAGGGGGGCGTACTTTGAAGAAGACAGAGACCATAATATTTAAAACAATAATAAAGATCTGTTATTTTCTGAACAGACCTTGTATTCTAAATATCTCTAACTTTTGTAGAGAAAATATTAGCTCTAACAATTAATACTGTAAGGAACAACTACTTTGTGGACTACAGTCCCGTTCAGAATTGGATTATACTCGCAATATTTATCAAACATCTAAGATCATTCATCAGCAGAATCACCAGACATAGCCGTATTCCGAACAGATTACTTTTCATCAGTATGGCCCAGGTGAGGCAACCAACGAATGATCTAACTATCTGGAAATCTTATATACCAACGTGTTTCAAGTGTAGGTGAGACAACCTATAAAATACGTCATATCTTAATTGTCACTACATCCTAAATATAAACTTTAATTATCAAAAAAATTTAAAGTATTAATCATAAGTTTTGATCTAGGTATATTCCGTTGATGCTGAATTCTAAGGAAGATTGTTAGATATAATTATTATTGCATCTTCTAAGGGTAACCTGAAATCCAGAACAATGACAGTTATATTTAGTTTTATCTTTCTTATGTCCTTTTTTTTATCTAAAATAACTCACATATATTATAACAAAATGCTATAGAAATGAATATGGCTTTTCAGTCTCTTAAATAATTTTTCTTTGGCTGAAATATTCAAGTATTCATAAAATATAAAAAAGTTCTAGAGACATTTTAGGAAACATTGATATTGAAATAGTTACCCACACAAAATTTTTATACCTAAATATCATGTCTAGAAACCCGCCGTTTATTATTAACATCAAATCTGCGATAAGCGTTGTAATTAATTTTTTATGTTCTACTAACTATAAAGCCTTGCTGACGTGGTGGCATAACTTGCATTAAGATGAAGTGACTCGATACCAACATCATTAAATTAAAATGACTATATTGTGCAGTATAATCTCAGCGGCTGGATTTGATTTTAAGCATCGCTGCTCTTGGCAATCCTTGTGAATACCAAGGGACGCTAGCTGTAACCGCAGGTCGGTATCAGGTGCTTTGCGCAACTGCTAGATCAGTTTAGATTATAAAGCTGTTCTTTGGTCAGATTATCGAGTCCTAGCTCATGGTAATTTTCAGCGCATGGCTTGAAATAACAGTTTATTATCCGTAACTAAAATTACAATCCAGGTTGTTCTCCTGTTAAAAGCTTATGAGCAAAACTTGTAGAACATACAAGGTGAATCGTAGATTTGTACATATCTACGAGTACATTTAACAACAGGAATAATGAGCGATGTAAATGAATCCAATGAGTCAGTTTTCATAATTACAAATATTTACGGAGATACGATCTTCATATAAAACCTGAAAAAATTGTTAGTAGACATTTTATTGCACTGTATGACGGGGAGGAGTATGTAGAATGATAATATCAAAAAAGTTACTCGAAAGAAGTGACGCTAATTTGCAAATTGCAAACAAGTGGCAAATTTACGTCTTTTTTTACTTTTTTTACTGCCCACGAAAATCTAGACGACCTATCGGAATATTAGTTATTTTATGTTGTAGGCAATTAAATTACCAACAATTTAAGGCACCTAGATGCATTTTTTACTAATTTGTTAACTGTAAAATAAAGGTAATAAAGGTAAATAAAAAAAGCGATGGATGTTGATGAAATTTAGGGAAAAGGCGGTCAATCCAAAGACCAAAATGTGTGCCAAAGGCCGAATCGATTGACCGTGAAATTGTGGCTCCAGGTATTTGTCAATTAATTTCCTTCGTTTTTTGGCAAATAATTGTTTAATTACTAAACGTTAATTGTAGAAGATTATATCGTAGATATAGGTTCCGATTGATCCAAAGAAATATACAGAAAAAAACGAATTTTAAAAAGTTGAAATTAAGTTGCCATTTAGGTACAACTAACAAAGTAGGACGTGCAAAACAGAGTTATAGACAAATTGTCTCAAGGTCAAGCAAAAGTAGCCCAGGAAGTCACTTTTTTGCATTAAATAGAGGTTATTTTTACGGAAATTTAACAAAAAGGGGTGTAGGTGATACACCTCTTTTTCCCCAAATAACTTTTTTTATAATGTTAATTGTTAATTAACTATTGAACGTATCGATCCGAGATTTTAGAGACAATTAAAGCAAGGGTTATACTTTTATTTACAAAAAGTTTTGCATTGATAGTTCATGAAATAAGCGCACTAGCAGCAGTAAAAGTTAACCTTAGTGAACACATGCCTGTGAACACCGCGTATTTTTTAACCGAATTTGAAACGTTAAAGTCAAAAACCTCTCGCGCGACAAGAGCGACGTTTACGCGCATGCGCGAGCCCGACGCTCCTTCTCCCGCATACAGGCGTTTAATAACGTTAAGCCGCTGCCACACGGCATGGCCAGACCGGGCCAATGTGCAATTAGTAAAGCTATGCCAATATGTGCCAACACTAATGTGAGTCCTCAACACGGTATGCCCAATACTGGCAATTGCAAGGATAGTGAACTGCTACCAATGTTGGTGTAGTTGTGAACATGTCAGTGTATTTTGAGGACCAAATGGATAGTAACGACGAGTGGTTGCAAGTTCTTTAATTGTCTCTAAAATCCCGTTGGATTTCGTTCAACTTTCAACCTTCATTTTACAGTTAACAAATTAATGAAATATTACTATAGATGCCTTAAATTGTAGGTAATTGTATATTTTCTGTTGTAATATGTCTACAACATAAAATTTTCCGATAGGTCGTCTAATTTTTCGTGGTCAGTAAAAAAGTAAAAAACACGTAAATTTGCCAACTTAGCGTCACTTCTTTAGAGTTACTTTTTTAATATCATTCTACATACTCTTCCCCGTAAAAAAGTGCAATAAAATATCTACAAATATTTTTTTCATGTTCAAACTCTAATTTGACTGATGTTCATTTTGAGAATGATTTAAAGTTCGACAGGTGCGGCTTTTAACGGAATTGTACTCAGCTCACTCTTTCAGTTTCCATTTCATTACTTTGTTAGATTTTATTCCTGCTGTTCTATACTTTTATTTTATATATCTACTTACATAAACCACTGTAAATTGTAGTCAGTGTATGTATTTAAATACTTGCACAGGGTGTTCCAATTTATAGATGAAAGTCTAATAATAATAAATAAAAAAACAAATAAAAATCAAATATTTCTTTAATAAACCATAAATAGACATAAATTTGGAAACTGTAACTTCCTCGAGACTTATTCTGCTACAATTTTTTGTATTATTAATTTTTTTATCTAAAATCTAAAAATATCGTGTTATTCTACACAATCCAAAATCTCACTCTTATTTAATTTTCATATTTATATTAAAAATTAAAATTTTATTAATTTATTCTTAATTAATTTTGATATGATAATATTAACGATAGACTTGAAAATTTCCCTCTAGACAAGCGAGTAAGGATATGTTTTCAATATAATCAATATGATACTGAAATCTTCACTAAAATCTTCACTGAAACCTAAACTTTTTAGGATGTATTCACTTTTTCATATTTTATTTACT